ATAGACAATATGATCTTAAATATAGTCGCTATAAAAGACTTAGCATCTGCCCTCGCATATACATTCTTGAAGCAATTCATGCCCTTTTTGAGAAGATAAACACATTTTTGTTGTTTTTATAATTCTTTTGGAAAACGTGGCAGAGAAGATTTCCATAGTTTTAGTCTCCCCTTCGTTGGGGGCACAGTTCATTTGCATTTTTAGTACCAGTCTTTTTCCTTGTCTGACCCGAAAACGCACCTTTGCCCTGTGTCTCTCTCTCTCTCTCTCTCTCTCTCTCTCTCTCTCTCTGTCTTTCTCCCCCCCCCCCCTTACTCTCGCTGTCACAGAATCTCTGTTACCTGGCTCCCTACCAGCTGGCATCACCCATTTTTCTGTTCCCATTTCTCTTGTGGGGTAAACCAGTCAGACAGGGTTTCTGCTTGAAGCAAGAACTTGGTGATAGAAGGGCTGGGATATGGGGGCTTCCACTCATTACCTGGGGATGCAGCTTCACTTAGAACTTAGCTACCATCAAAGTGTCTTCCTAGGCTTTGCATAGGTGTTAGTAGATGTGATTAATGAGTCATTTTCCTGTAACAGTAGCGACTCCCCCCATTGCTCACAAAACATGTGTTTTAGTTAATAATTAGGTTTTCTGAAATGTTGTCGAGGCTCCGGGGAACACCTCAGAGTAGCGTTTTCCTGTTGCATTCTCACCAGCAAACTGCCGGGCACTGCGGTGCCGCCAGGAGGGGCCTGACAGAGCTCTTGCCGCCTTCACCCCACAGGTCTCGAGCTTCCCTGGGTGATGGAGAGGCTGGTCCAGGGACCCAGAGAAAGCGCATAGGCTCCAGCCTCGACTGGGGTCCATATGGTGGGCCTCATGCTCTGGGGGTCACTTGTCCACTCTGGTCTTGCCGGTCTCTGCACTCCAACAGGTCACAGTGGTCTATGGTGCACAGCAGAGTTAGGAGGAATCTGAATGACTAAATGTCAGATGTCCAAGGCTGGGAGAGAGCTTCCTGTGCAGCCTGGCTGGATTGTGGGCCAGGCGTGGAAATTCAGGTCCTCCTCCAAAAATAAAAGCAGTGTAGCGCTCAGATTATAGAGACCGCAGGTGGAAGGTTTTGTCTGGACTTGGTTTTGTATTTCCTGGAATCCCTTTTACAGACCCACAGAGGGAGCTGACTCATGTGGAGGTGCCTCCCATGTGGGTTCATAGGATTGGAGGCTGTTAGGTTATAAATTCCTGGGCCCTCCCCTCAGAAATCAGATTAATGGCTTTAGATTACTCAATGATGAATGTGGGTAGGGCAGCATTACTCAGCAACTCTGGGCAAGAATATTGGAAAAATACAGGTAATTTTCTGCTTCAAGTGATCTGAACACACTCATCACAGTTGCCAGCTGCAGAATTACCCAGTTCACCTGGAAACCGCCTTATCTGCAAACTCAACTCTGGGGAAGGGCCAGGAGCCGGCAGATAAGCTAGAAACACAGACACGGGGACACACTCTTTTCCGTTCTGAAAGTCTTGTATGTTCTTCTTAGCCTGTTTGCTCTGACCTATATTATGATGAAGTCACCTCCTTGTTTAGAAACAGAAGTCAGTAATGGGGATGTGGTCTGATGAGGATGTGATGAAGGATTATCCTGAATGCAGGGGTATGATGGGATTATAAAGTGCTCAGAGTTCAAAAAGCCTGGCCACGTCGGCACCCCGGGGAGCAGGTGTCCACTGCACCCTGAGGACCACTGACTTTGGGTGTGAGGCGGGGTGCAGACCAGGGATCTGAACAGGAAGCTGGTGAGCTAGAGTTTGCACCTCCCAACCTAAGGCAAAGGGGAACCCAAAAGAACAGATCCCTGGGCGTTGATTTGCGAGTAGTTCCTCTCTGCTCTGGGCGAGAGCTGTCAGCTATGACATGCGCATCCTTGATTAGATCCAAACTTATATTTTCTCATTTAATGAGCAACTGTGGTCCCTTTTATTGCATTTAAAGATAAATGATGAGTGTCTGTTCCCTGTCAGGCGGGAATCCTTTCAGCTTGTCTCATCTGCAGGATAGGAATAATTCCTCCTTTACAAGGTGGCTTCCTGTTGGTTGTCTGTCACTCTAAATGGAGTGTCATGACGTCATTCTTGTGTCATGACGTCATGGTCTAAGCTCTCAGGACCTGGTGGTTTCTGACAGGTCACACCAGATGCTCTCCCAGAGGTGTGAACAGAATGTAAAAGTGAATTTTGGTTTTGTGGGATTTTTTTTGTGGTCTTACGTAGCATCTCGATCATTGGTTTTTATACTTTTCCCTTGCAATGTGAAACATTTAAAGTCCCCCATTTCCTCTGTAACCCACAAATGATGATAGCGCATATTTTTGCTATCATTTCTTGAGAAATATTTCTGATTTCCCTTGGGATCTCTGGTCACCCTTGACACACAGCTATTGAGAAAGGCATTGTTAGTTTACTAGTATGAGATACCTTCTTTTACTTATTTCTAATTTAGTTCTCTCATAATCAGAGAACATTCTGGGTAGTATTTTCATATTTAGAAATTTATTGGGATCTATTTTATGGCCCCTGCATATGGGGTATGGTGATGAACTACTAGCTACTGTGCCCTTAAAGAAGCTGCCTTGCCCTTGCTGGGTGTAGTTTTCTGTGAAGTCATCTGGGTGAAGCTGGCAGCTAGTGTCCTTTACGTCTCCTGTGTCCTTAAGGATTTTCGTTGTTGTTGGGGAGGGGGTTGTGTCTACTTGTGTCCATTCCTGAGAAAGGGATTTTGAAACCTATGATTGTGAAGTTCCCTATAATTTCCCTTTAGTTCCCTCTGCTTTTGTCTCAGAAGTTGGAGTTCTATAAATCACACATACACATTTAGGAGTGGTGAATTGATCTTATCATAAAAGGTCCTTTTTAATCTCTGGATTATTCCTTATCTCAAAGCCTACTGTGCTGATGTTAATATAGCCACACCAGGCTATATTAACCTGTCAATATTCTTTTTTTTTTTAAATATTTATTCAAGAACTGGGGTACAGGTCAGAGGCACAGGAGGGTGAGAGAATTCACCAGAGACAGAGCGGGGAACAGAACAGGCAGACGGACCAAAGATACTGCTGAGGGGAGCAGCGGGCGAGACAGGAGAGGTCAGCCTTACCATGTGGGTAGCTCCCTGGCTGGCAGGGAATTGAACCGGCGCTGCACAGGCTGCAGACAGCTTTGCAGCACGGCACTCAACAGCTGCGCCACCGGGGAGGCCCCTGTGTGTTTCTTTTGTTAATCGGTCCAACAATCTCTGACCTTTGAGTGAAGTTTTAGCCCGTTTACATTTCATATAGATATTGATGTAAGCTTTCACCTTGGTATTTATTTTCCATAAATAAATATTTTTTGTTCTTCTTTTCTCTATTCCTGGCTACTCTTTAGTTAATGAAACCTTTTTTATTATTCTACTTTGGGTTCTTTATTGACTTTTTTTTTTTTTTTTTTAAAGAATAGATGTTGATTTTATTGGCTTTGGTAATGGCATGGTAGTTACACATTTTTTTTTTTTTTCCAAATAGAGGCATGTTTTATTTATTTGTTTGTTTGTTTATACAAGCACTGGGTACAGTCAGAAGCGCGGGAGGGTGAGAGAATTCACCAGAGCCAGAGCGGGGAGCAGAGCAGGCAGAAGGACCGAAGGACACTGCTGAGGGGAGCAGCGGGCGGCAGGAGAGGTGTGCGCGCCATGTGGGACCCTCCTCCGGTGGCCGGGGAGCAGCCGGGGATCGAACCGGCGCTGCAGAGGCCGCGGGCAGCTTCGCAACCCAGCGCTCAACCGCTGCGCCACCGGGGAGGCCCTCTTTATTGACTTTTTAGCAGTATTGCTTTTTGTATTTTCAATGTTGTTTCAGGGGTTGAAATAGACATGTTAGGTTATTACAGTCTTTTTAGAATTTTTTAAAAAAAGATTCATTCATTCATTCATTCATTCATTCATTTATTTATTTATACATACAAGCACTGGGTACAGTCAGAAGCGCGGGAGGGTGAGAGAATTCACCAGAGCGGGAAGCAGAGCAGGCAGAAGGACCGAAGTACACTGCTGAGGGGAGCAGCGGGCGGCAGGAGAGGTCTGCGCGCCATGTGGGACCCTCCTCCGGTGGCCGGGGAGCAGCCGGGGATGGAACCGGTGCTGCAGAGGCTGCGGGCATCTTCGCAACCCAGTGCTCAACCGCTGCACCACCGGGGAGGCCCTCTTTTTAGAATTTGTATTGGACTACTGACAAAGTACCACGGAGCAATACTAAAGTTGTGTTACCCACCCTCCCTGTATTATTCCCAACATATTGTTACATATTTCACATCTGTGTTTGTAATGCAGTGTTAGAGATGTTTTTGCTTTGAGCAATCAAATTGTCTTTCAAAGAAATTAAAAGGAAAATATAATCTTTCACATTTACCCACATATTGCCATGTTGCCAGATCTTTCTTTTAGTCATATTTTAAATTTGTTCCTCTAACTGGAGCATATTTATAGTAGTTGTTTTTTAGTTCTTGTCTACTAACTCCAAAATCCGAATCATCTCAGTGTTTACTTCTATTGCCTGTGTAAATTATTTGCACGACATGCCACAGAAGCAACGACTGACTGCAGATTCATGGTCGGGTGTCCCACATTTTCCATTGAGCAGCCTCTCCACCCTCATCTCATGTGGCTAAAAATGACCTTAGTGAGCTCCTCAATATAAAAACATCTGTCCTTTCAGACATTGCACGTGCCAAGTCGTTCACATTGCCTGCAGCCTACCATCAAATGGGTGAGGGGTTTGGCTCTTGCCTCATGCCCTCGCTTTGGGGATCCTGTGGAAGCAGCCCACCCCCAAGCCGAGGATTTGGAGGCTGAATGGGGGTCTCTGTGGAGCCCTGCTGTCGGAGTCATCCCACGAGACCAGCGGAAGGCGTTAGCTGTGCACCCTGCGTGACTCGCATGGGTGCGGAGCCCAGATCTTTGTGCTTCTCATTTCAGGCCCTTCGCCTGAGCAACTCAGCCATGGGGAAGACCACCACGGGCCAGATCGTCAACCTGCTATCAGGGGACGTGAACAAGTTCGATCAGGTGAGGTGTCTGGCAGCGGCCGGCATTCCTTCGAGGGCCTACAACACAGGTGCTGTGCGTGCCAGATGTGGTCACATGCGTTGTCCTGCAGACTGAGCTGTGTTTTTCTCATGTTACCTGCAACCTGACGTCAGTGAGTAATGGGCAGATGGAAGACGCTTGCTGGAGGGGTTCCAGTGTCCCCCTGGGTCTCTCTTTTTAGCTTATGGTGTTGGCGTTGCTGGCTGATTCTTCTCCTCTAGAGGATGAACTCCTGCTGGTGAGGATTGTGCTGGCCCCTGTGCCATGTCTGCGATGTGGGCCCATTGGGTGGTCCCTCACCAGAGAAACCTCACTCTCCTCTATCCCACCACACTCAGTTTTTGCACATACCTTATGAATGTATCATGTTTCCAGGGTGTTGTGGATCTTACTAGTCTGTCTTGACACCTGTGTTCCATTGCACTGCTTCTCTTTCAGTTATTCATTCAACAAAAATGAACTAGGCTCTTGCTTAGTGTCAGGGATGTAGAGGATTGGGTTTCTGCCCTGAGAAGTCACACCCTGTCAGGGAGATGAAGACCCAGTAATTAAGTACAGAAGAGTGTAACAGGGCCATGATAAGGGCTTTCCTGGGGTGCAGGGAGCCCCCTGGAACATGAGGCTGACTTTTGTATCAGAGAGATTTTGAGGCAACCCTGAGCTCCTCCTCCCAGCTCTGTTGCTCAGGGCGGTCCCCAGCATCCCCGAAGCTCTCCTTTTAGTTGCCCCTAAATGGTAGATACTTGGGTTTCTGTTTCTGCAGGTTTAATACTGTGATCTGTTCTGCTGACACTCCTGTCTGTTCTTCCAGGCAGGTGGATTCTATGCATTGTTCTTCCTGGTGCTGGTTTCCCTTAGCCCTAAAAAGGCCTGTCTTTTTCTTTCCAGGTAACGATATTCTTGCACTTTCTGTGGGCAGGCCCCCTGCAAGCCATCGCTGTCACTGCCCTGCTCTGGATGGAAATAGGCATTTCCTGCCTGGCCGGCATGGCGGTGCTCCTCATCCTCCTGCCTCTGCAAAGCTGCATCGGGAAGTTGTTCTCCTCACTCCGGTAAGAGAAGCCCTGGTTTAACAAGTGGGTTGTGTGCACGGTACGTCCGCTGTCCGTCTGAGGCCTTTCTTTGTTCAGAAATGGAACAAGCGCTTTCCAGAATCGCTTCTTTGCGGGTGTTCTCAACTCTTCAGGCTCAGCCAGTAGAGGCTCCAGCTTTAAGCTGAAGGCCCATCTTGAAGTGGGAAGGAAGAAAAGGCATCCCTGCTGCAGCTCCTCAGGCTCCCTTGCCTACTAAGTAGAAGGGGCACATTGAAGTCATTCCAATGTGTATTTAGCGGTAACATGTTAAACACCTGTCAGGCCCAATTCTGATTGCATGCATGTGTGTGTGTGTGTGTGTGTGTATTTACTTACTTATTTTTGCATAGAAGAACTGGGGTATAGGCCAGAGGTGTGGGGAGTGAGAGGATTCACCAAACACAAAATAGGGAGCAGAGCAGGTGGATCTACTGAAATACACTGCTGAGGGGAGCAGCGGCGAGACAGGACAGACAGGTCTGCTCCGCCATATGTGGGTCAGCTTGCTGGCTGGGGATCGAGCTTAGGCCTTAGTGGTGATAGTGCTGAGACTTAACCCCTAGGCCAGCAGGGAGGCCCCTGGTTGTATATATTTTTGTTACCCTTGTGTGAGAGCCATTTTCAAGTATGTATGTCATGGTTTTGATTTTTATTTTTCCTGGGTTGACTGCTTTTTGGCTTTCATTCATTGAGTTTTCTCTCATGGATTACATTTTATATAGCCATCGTTTTTGCTTTTATTTATTTAAATTTTAAAAAAAAAAAACATTTATTTATTTATTTATTTATACAAGTACTGGGTAGAATCAGAAGCGCAGGAGGGTGAGAGAATTCACCAGAGCCAGAACGGGGAGCAGAGCAGGCAGAAGGACCGAAGTACACTGCTGAGGGGAGCAGCGGGCGGTAGGAGAGGTCTGTCGCGCCACGTGGGACCCTAGTCAGTGGCCAGGGATCGAACCCTTGCTGCAGAGGCGGCGGGCAGCTTCGCAGCCCAGCGCTCAACCGCTGCGCCACCAGGGGAGGCCCATCCGTTTTGTTTTAATCACACATCTTGATATGAATTTGCAATCATTTATAGGGAACAATACAAGTGTTTTCCCTCGTCTTTTTGCCAGTGATGAGCCTGAGCTCTTAGACCTCCAGGCTTCGCTCCTGGTCACTGCGGGTCTAAAATAAACATTGATTCTCCTTCCTGTACCTGAGGGCCTCAAAGTATTAGAGGAAGAAAAATAATAACTCTTGGAAAATTCAGTCCAGGAATAAAAGGAGGAAGAATACAAATATTATATGTGAAAAGCAAAGTTCTGCTTGAGAAATCTAAGCAAAAAGTTGTGTGTGTGGTTTCGGTTAAACACAAGCCTGTCCCTTAGCAGATTTGGCAAGTACCTTGGCCCACAACAGGTTGTGAGTCTCAATCAGCGTTTTTCTAATTTAATGTTTCCTGAAGTCAGAAGCTCCCCAAAGGTGAGCTGAAATAACGTCCCAACTCCCTATCGGCATTTGTGACAGAAGTGGCCACTACAGAGGGCCCAGTGGTGAAGAAGAGGTTGGACCTGACGCTGGTCCCAGAGGGTTTCCGGGGTCACTCCCAGGATGATCAGGTGTGGGACCTACCGGTGCGGTCAGAGGGAGGCCAGGCAGGGGCTGGCTGGCCACCCCTGTGGGCTGTGCCTGCTGCTGATAAAGTCGGGTTATGTTGCCCTGACTCACCTCTCGCCTGTCTCCCCGCCCCCAGGAGTAAGACCGCAGCATTCACAGATATCAGGATCAGGACCATGAATGAAGTGATTACGGGCATAAGGATTATAAAGATGTATGGCTGGGAGAAGTCGTTTGACGACCTCATCACCAACTATAGAAGGTGAGTGTTTCCTAAATCTCAGATTTGCGTGACTTTTTGTCTCCCTTTTTCTCAGGTCACCCTTCGTGATCCACCATAGTCCACTGGGCCCGCTCCCTATTTTGCTGTCCCTCCTCCTCCCGCTCTGGTAGTCTCGGTCCTATAGTCAGATTTCTAGGACCGTTACTGGTTTGGCTTTTTCTGAACTCTTGTTTTCTTTTTTGATAATCCACATATAAGTGAGACCACCCATGTTTTTCTTCTCCTTCTGACTTACTTTGCTTAGTATAATCCCCTGCAGTTCCACCCATGTTGTCACAAAAGGCAAACGCTTACCTCTTTTTCACAGCTGAGTAGTATTCCACCGTGGCAATGTACCGCGTCTTCCTCCTCTGTCCTTGGGCACTTTGGTTGTTTGCATAACTTGGCTATTGTGTACAGTGCTGCAGTGAACATAGATGTGCAAACACCTTTTTGCATGAGTGTATTTGCACGCTTCAGGTAGATACCTAGGAGTGGAATATTTTTAATGTGTTGAGAAACCTCTATACTGTTTTCATAGGAACTGGACCAGTCTACATTCTCGTCCACAGTGTAGTTGGCTTCCTTTTGTTCTACATCCTTGCCAACACTTGTTTCTGTTTTTTGTCTGTGAGGGACCATCCTCACAGGCAGGAGTGGTTCCTCTTTGTGGTTTTGATTCGCTTCTCCCTGATGACAGGTGATGGTTGTGCATATTTTTCAAGTGCTTGTTGGCTACCTGCATGTCTTCTTTGGAGAATTGTCTGTTTAGCTCTCCCATCCGTTTAGGGGTTGGGTTCATTGTTTTCTTTCTGTTGAGTTATATGACTTCTTTGTAGCTCTTACCTTGGATTTCAGCCCTTTGTTGGATGTATAACGTGCAAGTATTTTCCCCGTTCAGTAGGGCGCCTTTTTGTTTTGACAATAGTTTCCTTCGCGTGTGTAGCTCTTTTAGTTCGAACTCCCAATTTTATGGGATGTTTTTAGAAGCTCTCCTACCTTTTCACATTTAGGGTGAACTTGAGGCCCTCCCCTCCTTTCCCCCACGCCCCGGAGCTTGGGTTCATCATCAAATCCTGTGCTCCTACTGACTGGAGTCTTAAAGCAAAGTGTGTATGTGCTCCTTAGTGACACTAGTGAAAGTGAAGCTCCACATGACTGTAAATAATTCTGAGTTGCCAACACCAGAGAATAGCACGCCTAAAGTCAGACTGTTGTGGACTTCTAGTGAGTCCGAGACATGGGACGCGACGGTGAGGGAAATCAGACACGGGGGACTGTCATGTCCAGCATGCAGTAAATCTTTATTGTCTTAGTGCTCATTATATACTATTTCAATTGCAGCAGGTGTAACATCAAAGCATACCATACAATGATAACACAAATGAATGATTTGTCTACTTTCTTACTATTATCTATTTACTTCAGACAGTAGGGTACCAGGTGGTTAGTTCTCACGCACATAATCTTATCGCCCCCTAGCTAGAGCTTGGGAAGTTCGCTCATTATTTTTGTTATTCTCAGACTGTGGAGATGTAGAGGCCTGACTCCACGCAGGTCATTTTCCGGGCACTCAACACCACGTCCTGTCACTCAGAGGTTTTCCTCCGAGATGCATGTGTTTTCACATGCCTTAGTGACTCAGGTCAAGGCCCTTCTGCTCACTGCACAGGGTCTCTCCCAACAGACTGTGATTTACATTGATGTGGCCGTGGGAACGCCGTGGCGACTGGGGGAAACTGTATCAGGCCAAGGAGACTAATGGGTGTCGCTCGTGCCCAGCAGAATCATGGGGACTCCCTTCCTTCCCTTCCCTTTTGCTTTCTGCCTCTGGAATCCTTTTCAGCCTTTGGTTTGCTTGTTTGGTTAGTTTTTCAACCCAGCACTAACTCCCTGGCTGCACCTCGCCCACCTCTCGCCCCTTAGACACCTTTGTGAGTGGGCTGCTCCCTAGGTCTCCCTGCATCTTCCTCTTCATTCTTCTCCGGATGAGCTTCCCCAGACTCCCCTCTGCTCTTTTCCTGCTCCTCTGCAGCCTGATGAACCCCGACTCGTCCTCCAGGTCCCACTTGCTGTCTGCACTGCCCCCAGTGTGTCCTGGGGCTCCTGGGGTGGGGTGTGCTGGTGCTCACTGCCTGTCTAACACACAATTTTTTTTTTTTAATTTCACTATTGAATAACCAAAATATATAACTTTTTATTCTTTAAATAAGTAGTATGTATGCAAATAGCATGTATAATAGCCATGCTGAGTATACTTATTTGAAAAAAAAAGTTGCTATAGTACAATGTTTTTTAATTAAAATATATGTATCTTACTATGTCAAAAATAATTTGTCAAGTTCTTTGTGTCTGGATATTATTCCATTTTATTAATATGCCATAAATTACTTAACTATGTAATCACAAATATTCACTTATTCAGATTTCACTACTATAAGTGTTATGATAAATGGCATAGCAAAATCTTTGTAACAATGCGTGATTATTTTCTTAGAACACATTTTTAAAAGTGGATTCACTTGTGTCAAAGGGTAGATGCCTTTTGAGAACTTCTGAAGCATGAACCTTATTACTGTCCCGAAGAGCTGTGCAAACACATGCAGTGTGCATTTTCCTGCAGTCTCACAAAAACTGAGTATTTTGGTGTCTTTCTAAAAAAATCTCTGCCAATCTGATAAGAAAATGAGAATTTTTTTCTTAATTTGCCTTTTTAATGTATTTTTTTGGTTTTTTAAATGAATTATTTTATATAATTCTTACATCCTTTTTCATTTTTGCACAATGTATGCACTTTCATTTTGGTTATATTCCCCATATAATTCCTACCCCCCTCATCCTGACCCTAATCCCTCCTCTCCCCCCCCCACCCCCCACTAGTGTGTCTCTGGTTCACAGTTGCTTGTTGATTTTGCGTTTTTCTTTATTATAGTTAGTATTTTTCCTGGGCCCTTATTTAGGTCTTCTAAATTCTTACCATGAGTGAGACCATCTGGTATTTTTCTTTTTGTTTCTGGGTTATTTCACAGAGCATGATCCCTTCTAGCTCCATCCATTTTGCTGCAAATGGCATGAGTTTATCTTTTTGATTGCTGAGTAATACTCCATTGTGTATTTATTAATGCACAATTTTAAGGCTGCTTATTGTCTTCTCCCATGAGTTCCTGAGTCCCCGGAATGTGTGTCTCTCATCACCAGGTGCCCAAAATGGGGCCTGGACTTATGAATTCTTAGGGAAGGTGTGTTCAGACCCAGGTGGACCGGAATATAAGGGTACGTCCAGCATCCACTGAGCCAGACGGGCTGGCGTGGTCATAATGCATGTGGTCCTGGGCAGGAGCTGCCCGGGGCAAGCGCTGGAGATATTTCTATGGAGTGTGTGTGGGGGGGAGGGTTAATGTTAACTGATACCGCCCAAAAGGGGCCACGCACCAAGGCCACTTGAACCCACGACTCTGACATCCAGGCTTCCTTCAATGCCTGTGTCCTGCTCTCTTCTCCAGGAAGGAAATTTCCAAGATTCTGAGAAGTTCCTACCTGAGAGGCATGAACCTGGCGTCATTTTTCGTTGCCAGCAAAATCATCGTTTTCGTGACCTTCACCACCTACGTGCTGCTGGGCAACGTGATCACTGCCAGCCGCGTGTTCGTGGCCGTGACGCTCTATGGCGCCGTGCGCCTGACCGTCACCCTCTTCTTCCCCTCGGCCATCGAGAAGGTGTCTGAGTCCGTCGTCAGCATCCAAAGAATCAAGGTTGGTGAACAAAGACCTTTTTTTTACCCCCTTCATGCTTAGGATGTATTTCGCTTCATTACTTTTGAAAGTAAAAACTGCACCCAGACCCGTCTGTCAGGAAACCTGCTTCATCTTTACATGTGCAGCTGCTTCTGAGACACGCCAAGTTGCCACTTAACGGAGACTATGAATCCTGTCCTATTCATCTACCTTTTTGCCAAAATACTTTTGACAGTCATTTTGCCCTCATCTGGGTCTGTGTTGTGGGGTCGTGAAAATGTCTTAACTCACAGGCTTTTAAAAACTACCTGGAAGCAGGGCCTCCTTGGTGGCTCAAGGGGTTAAACACCGCACTATGAAGCAATCTGCAGCCTCTGCAGCACTAATTTGATCCCCAGCCAGCCAGGGAGCAACCCACACGGCACAGCAGACCTCTCTTGTCTCACCTGCTGCTCCCCTCAGCAGCGTATTTCAGTCAGTCTGCCTGTTCTGTTCCCCACTCTGTTTCTGGTGAATCCTCTCACCCCTCACATCTCTGGCCTGTAACCCAGCACTTAAATGCATAAATAAATAAACCTTAAAAAAAAAAAAAACCTACCTGAGGGCCTCCCCTGGTGGCTCAGTGATTGAGGTACCCACATGGCGCAACAGACCTCTCCTGCCGTGCCCACTGCTCCCCTCAGCAGTGTATTTCTTTGTCAGTCTGCCTGTTCTGTTTCCCGCTCTGGCTCTGGTGAATTCTCTCACCCTCCTGAGCTTTTGACTGTACCCAGTGCTTGTATAAATAAGTAAATAAATCTTTAAAAAAAAACCCTACCTGGTAGCAGCAGCAATGATTAACAATGACACTGAAATCCACCACCTCGTTTAAACAGGTAAAGCTTTTAAAAAGCTTACGCTGGCAGTACTTACCAAGAAGGAAAACAAATCAGTTCACCCAATTCCACCATCAGGAAGGAAGCAGAGGGCTGGGCAAACAGTTTCGTGGAGACACTGCTCAAAAAAAATAATAGTAGTGGGCACGCCCACCAGCACAGTAGGGCTTTTCTGCTTTTGGAGAAGTGTCAGTGATCTGGTGGGGTCAGGAAAGCGCTTCTGCAGTGAGTGACGTGGCTCTGCCTCTGCGTGACTCAGTGTCCCTGTAAGGACTCAGGGAGCTCGAGGGGGATGCCACAGAGGCCGGGTGGACCAGCCATTGCTGCTGTCCAGGAGAGAGACAGTGTTCAATGGAAGACTAAAGAGGTTAGATCGAGGACTTACCAGATAGTTAATGACAAGGTGCTGATTGGATGCACTTGTGGCAGGTGTTGGGGGCGGAGCAGGGTGGCCCCACAGCCTTGATTAGTGGGCAGGCCAGGTCCTGGATCTCGGTCTCCTGGAAATGGTTTTTGCCTCTGGTTTTGTGCTGCAGTTTCAACAGTCTGTTTTCCATCTGGTTTGCCAGCACATCCCTTGGGCCATGTTGATCCTGAGGTCCTGGGAGTGGCCCCCTCCTTGTGTCCCCAGCATGTCACATGGTGCACGCGGTAGGATTCAGCCCCCAGAAACCCCTGCACTGATTGTTGTCTCACAAAAGTAAATCAGTAAAAGTCTCCAGCTTCTGAGTATCTTCAAGTTTGGGGCCATCATTTCCCTGCAGGGAGGACCCGTTAATTACACTTGGTTTTTTTTTTAAATGTGGTCAATTTTTTTTTTAAAGATTTATTTATTTATTTATACAAGCACTGGGTACAGTCAGAAGCGCGGGAGGGTGAGAGAATTCACCAGAGCCAGAGCGGGGAGCAGAGCAAGCAGAAGGCCCGAAGGACACTGCTGAGGGGAGCAGCGGGCGGCAGGAGAGGTCTGTGTGCCTAATTACACTTGTTTTATGTGACGAAAAGAACTGCCTCCTGGACAGGAATGCTACTGCAAAAAAAAAAAAAAATTGTCTATTAAAATGATGGCTATCCTAACATGAGACACACCATGTGATGTACAGTATGTTGGCATCAAAACTGGTGCCTTATTATTTTCCATTTAAATATAATTTTATTTTTATTTTTGATTCATTTATTTTCTTCCATCGTTAATTTTTGGATGGTGTTTGATTTCTTCCCTCAGGTGTGGTCCCTATAGATCTCCAACCACCACGGCACCCAGGACCCATCTCCACAGTCCCCTGTGCTCTTCCCTCCTGTCCCCACCCCCCCGCCGTGTGCCTCAGATCTATGGTCTGTGGAATCCCCAGCCCTCCTTGTTCTCGGGCCTGTTGTCTTGGTGCCCAGAGTTCCCACTGGTCAAGCCATGGGGGCTTCTCTCCAGCGCAAAAGTCGTGGTATGAGGAACATTGGGAAACTAGGATCTGCTGAAATCAGCAGGCAGACATCATAGCCAGATAAGCAGCATCGGCTAGAATACCTTACTTGTAGAGATTAGCAGTAAGTTAGGTAAGAGCAGGGACTAGAGATGGTATGATCTGATCAGCAGGAACTATGGAGCCCCCCAAGCAATAGCCCCTGCCCTGGTCACTCGTAGCTTGTGCAGAGATGATGCCTCCCTGATAACGAATCCCCATGCATGGACATTCCTCCACATACTTACCCATCTTCTCTGAACCTGGTTCTCAATAAATATGAGACTGCCCATGGCCTGGGGCTGCACCTTTTAGGTGTAAGCCCCTGTAGGCTTCTCGCTGCTTGAATCTGTCCTTCATCCCTCGCCGCTCCCAACATTGGCACTGGGAGAGGAACAGCAGCAGTGGTCAGCTTGCAAGTTCTGTCTTTTTTCCTGACCCTTAGTTCAGTTTCTCCATATTCCACATATAAATGAAACCATCCAATATTTATCTTTTCTCTACGGACTTATTTCATTTAAAGAATCCCTTCCAGCTCCATCCCTGTTGCTGCAAATGACATGAGTTTATCCTTTTTTCATTTCTGAGTAGTATTCCACTGTGTATGTACACGACATCTGCTTGATCCATTCATCCGTTTGGGAGTCTTTTAGGTTATTTCCATACCTTAGTAATTGTGAATGGTGCTGCGATAAGCATAGGGGTGCAGGTTTCCTTTCAAATGAATGTTTTCGTGTCCCTTGGGTAGATTCCTAGGGATGGAATACCTGGGTCATGTGGTAGACCCATAGAGTTTTGAGGAACCTGCACATAGCTCTCCATAGCAGCCGGGCCAGTTTGTACTCCCACCAGCAGTGTAAATAGGCAAAACCAACACTTTAAATACAGCTGGTAAAAATGGCACAAGGACAGAGTAACATTTTCCGTTGCGGATTCTAGGGAAGTGGTTTTTGCCTGTGGTTTTGTGCTGCATTTCAACAGTCTGTTTTCCCTTTTTCCGTAGAACTTTCTGTTACTTGACGAGGTATCGGGACACCGCCCCCAGCCACCTTCAGATGGTAAAACGCTAGTGCATGTGCAAGATTTTACTGCTTTTTGGGATAAGGTAACAAATCCTCCCTTGCAAGATCATGAGTGCGCAGCGACCCCCGCCGACGTAGCTTTAGTAGAGAAGTTTGCCATTTTACACGTGGCGTAAAGTGTGAACCTCTCGCGTGTTGTGACCGTTCTCCATCAGGAGTGGGGGTTGCTGGGGGTAGAGCTGAAGGGGAGTGGCAATCTGAGCACCCGGCTGCTGTTTATCCCACATCAGAGCCGTCACAGCTCCCCGGGTTTGGAACACACAGGAGCCGATCCTGTGCTGCAGGATTTATGGGCTGGCCGGGGAGGGCTGTGTGTGGGGTTGGTGACGACACCTGTTACAGGTCATTGCAGATGCCAGACTTTGAGGAATTTGCCTGTTTTTTCATGTGGATGTTTTTGACCCTCTCATTACACGTCAGGGGAAACCCGTGATTTGGGTCTCTGCTGTGGGTTGGGGCGGGGGTTCCCGTCTTCTTAGCTCCTGCCTGGCTGCAGGTAACGAGTCTCAGCTGAAAGCTTGTGCTCTGTATTGATGACGCGAAACACAACAAGGATCGCTCTCAAGAAGTTCTCATTCCAGAAGCTGGTGGCTTCTATCAAACTTCTATCAAGAAGTTTCCTCTGGTTTTCCTCTGCTCAGTTGTCAAGTGGGGGCCACTTTATTTCTACAAGGAGGGGTTTTGATCTCTGGGGTCCCCTGCTGCACCCCCAGAACCTAGCACATGTCTGGCTCAGAGGGGATCCTCCTTGCACCTGTGTCCCTGAACTGTTGAACATTCCCTCCTTCTGGTCATGCTAGAGCAGTGCCGGGTCTTGAAGCCCTTCAGGAGGGAACCCTGGACCACCCCAATCCCTCAATCCCCAGGAAAAATTGAAGCGCAGTGACTGGAAACTGGTGTTTGTATGGGGCCCATTATTTCATAATCATAACTACAAGTGGTGAAATAGGAACTTCTTATTGCACCATATATTAAAATCCAGTTTGCTGTGATGGCTTTTATAATTCCAGGAACTAGTTTTTTTTTTTTTAATGATTAGAAATAATGGTCATTGTTTTAGTAGATGGCCATCTCTGCAAAAGCAGAGTAATTTTTCATGTGGAAGATCATCCAGACCTTTAATTTCTCCCTGTTATTTTCTAGCTCTTAGATGTAGTACTAATAGCCTCTACCACTTGATTTTTTTCCTTTTGTGCATTTGCAGTTTTTTAACAAGACATGCAGTTATTGAGAATTTTCTTAGCAGTGTATGTGAAAACGTGCATATGCCATTAAATGTTCTTTTCCTAGATTTATAGATTGTTCTGGAATGCAGTTTCTGATTAGCAGAATATTTTCTCCTTCCCTTTTCCCTTGACTTGTGTGTTGTCTCAGGTGTTCTCATAATTTTTGCAGAAGTACTGTGCTGTCCCTGTTCGGTGGGGACAGATAACAATTGCTTATAACTACGTATAAAGTTAATAAGTCTTTATCACTTTGACCCATGATACTTACATTATTTCCCCTTGTTAAGTTAGAACTCTGTTATATATAGCCTTGCCCACTGCGTACAGGAGTTTGTTTGCCAAGAGTGACTTTATAAAGTGCCTTCCTGCCTGCTGGACATCACCGATTTTCATTCTTTATTGAGTGAAAAGGAAGCAATTACTGGCGACTTCAAATTACTCATTAGTAAAGGACCTGGCGTGTCATGTGCTAATGTTGCCACCTTGTGGGAATTAATGGAATAGAAGATTAAAAACCAAGGGTGGTGATGAAAACTAGTCGATGATTAAAAGCTCCTACACTGAATATTCTGTTAAGGATGTAATTTTTGTAAGTTTGTGTGTGCTGAGGCATATTCATTCCAAGATGGTGCCTTGCCACCTCTATTGTTTAAATGCTGTGAGAGTCTACAGCTGTACTCATATAGAAATTGGGTCAAAGAACCAACCCCCCAGAGATAAAATTAGGTGAAATGGACTTCAGGATACAATATCATAAGGGTGGGTGACATTCACGTGTTGGTGACTAACTTTTGACACAATTTGCGTGTCTTTATTGAAATGGGCACCTTTTGTCACTTTCATTTGCAGGCATCAGAGACCCCGACCCTACACGGCCTCTCCTTCACTGTCAGACCTGGAGAACTGCTCGCCGTGGTCGGGCCCGTGGGGGCAGGGAAGGTAAGTGACCATGTTTCTTTGGCGTCCGGCAGATTTTGCTCAAATTGCCCAGTTGGGAAGTGGAGCTGGGCCCAAGTGAACCCTGTGATTTACCACTAGCGCTCCAGGGTAGAAGGACAGAGGGACTGGGACTTCTTCCTCTTAGTGCAGACCTTGCAGGGAGTCTGCAGGCTTTAAAGACTTCTGGAGAGCTGTGACTCTCCTTGTATGACTTGTCCAGGTCACATCCGTGCATCCTTAGCAGATGCGCAGGCCTGAGTCTGTGCTATGTGGGCGCGGGAAGCCAGATGTCCCGAGGCCCAGAATAGGTCCTGCAGACAGATGGTGACGTGCATCCTGATCGTGCAAGGGGCGGACACAGCCTGTCTGTGTGTTGTGAAAGCTGTTCACAAATGTCCTTAAGTCTTGTGCATTGGAAATAGCAAGAGGCAGACGATAAGCCCAGCACGGAGGACAAGAGGGGGCCTTTTTCCATCATAGTGGACTTTTACTTTCTGGACTCACTTCTCCGTTCATCTAAGGAACCATTTCTCCTGCTGCAGTGGGAATATTTGCAACTAGCTTTTCCGGAACGAGTGATGACTCCGGGGACACAAGGACAGTTGCGTTCAAAGTCAGATACAGGAAATAGATACACTGCGCCTGGGAATATTCTTTTTTTTTTTTTTTAAAAGATTTATTTTATTTATTTATACAAGCACTGGGCACAGTCAGAAGCGTGGGAGGGTGAGAGAATTCACCAGAGCCAGAGCGGGGAGCAGAGCAGGCAGAAGGACCGAAGTACACTGCTGAGGGGAGCAGCGGGCGGCAGGAGAGGTCTGCGCGCCATGCGGGACCCTCCTCCGGTGGCCGGGGAGCAGCTGGGGATCGAACCGGCGCTGCAGAGGCAGCGGGCAGCTTCGCAACCCAGCGCTCAACCGCTGCGCCACCGGGGAGGCCCGGAGTATTCTTGATTAGTGTCTGTGGAGTAGAGCCTTTCATTTGGGGGGGATGCTCTTGGGCAGAGGAGATTGTGATAACCTGGTTTGTTAATATTCCCGATTGACCATGAACCCTCCAATTAACATCAAGCTATAGCGTCATTTCCAGTTTATTGCAACTGGAATAAAGTTGTGTGTGCTGTGCGGACAGTGTCTGGGTGGCCGGGCTGGCATGCTGGGCGGGAAAGGCTGCGTTGCAATGTCATCCTGACCTGGGTGTTCTGGCCGTGCCCACCTGCGCGTTTCTTCTCTGTTCCAGTCCTCTCTGCTGAGTGCTGTGCTTGGGGAGCTGCCCCCCAGCCAGGGGCTGGTCACTGTGCAGGGGAGAATCGCCTACGTGTCCCAGCAGCCCTGGGTGTTCTCAGGAACTGTGAGGAGCAATATTTTGTTCGGGAAAAAATACGAAAAGGAACGATACGAGAAAGTAATCAAGGCTTGTGCTTTGAAAAAGGTGAGTGGCGCTGGAATTTCTTCTAACGGTTGTGATTATATTGGTCAGTGGCAAGGCTTGTGAGTTTTCTATTTTATTTTGAGACATCTTTGTAAGACTGGTCTTCTGTATAAAGTGTCCTGAGCACAGAGACTACTGTTTAATCCTCATGTGATGCTGGCTTTTGGGGAAGAGTTTTGGTTTGTGACATCTATTCTTCACTTTTAGCTTTTTTTTTTTTTAAGTGGACAATTGGAAAAATTGGCAAAATTAGAGAGTATAGTGTATTGGAACTTCCTGGATCCATTCCTCAGCTCAACTGTCACCAGCTCAAGTCGGTTTCACTTCTATCCCTGCCCTCTATACCAGTGCACCCCACATGATCCCCAACCACATTCTAGATCTCATGTTCTTTTTTTTTTAAAAGATTTATTTATTCATACAAGCATTGGGTAAAGTCAGAAGCACGGGAGGGTGAGAGAATTCACCAGAGACAGAGCGGGGAACAGAAGAGGCGGACTGACGAAATACACTGCTGAGGGGAGCAGCGGGTTACACAGGAGAGGTCTGTCGTTCCATGTGGGACCCTCGCCGGTGGCCGGGGATCGAACCGGTGCTGCAGAGGCTGCGGGCAGCTTTGCAGCCCAGCAGTCAACCGCTGCGCCACCAGGGGAGGCCTTCATGTTCTTTTTTTTTTTTTAAGATTTATTTATATATTTATGCATATAAGATCGGGTGTAGGCCAGAGATGTGGAAGGTGAAAGGATTCACCAGAGACAGTGGGGAGCAGAACAGGTGGATCTACTGAAATTCACTCTAAGAGGAGCAGGGGGTGAGACAGGAGAGGTCTGCTGCGCCATCTCCCTGCCCAGGGGTAGAACTCATGCTGCAGTGGCTGGTGATAACTTTATAGCGCTGAACCTGTAACCCATGCACCACCAGGGAGGCCTCCTCATTGGTTAAAAAAGTGTTTTGTCATGTCATTCGTTTCGGCAAACAAGCAAGAAATCCCTTAGTGATAAAACACACTGTCACACCTGCAATCAACCCAAATTCCATAATATCACCCACTTTCCACCTGGCCTTCCCCTCTCTATTATCTGTCTCACGGAAAAGTCTCCTCAACCATGAGCTCAAGCCGGGTTCCAGACGAAGCCAGAGCTCGGAGCAGGGTGGCTGGGCTTTTCAGTCCACGCAAGGTCTCCCCCCAACCCAGCCCACTGCATTTTTGACTTGCAGTTTATTATTTAAAGAAAACCGAATGTCTTAAAGTGCCTTTTGAATACCGCATCATTCCCAATGGGAGGGATTGTCTTCAGAGAAGGCGTCTACTGGGTTCTGCAGAAAATGGCCAGATGAGATGCTGAATTGTCCCTGAAGATTCAAATTGAATTGGCTACCGACTGATGTGAGTGCAGGCCTTACCCTGACAGGAGAGTGTGATGTAGTAAAAAAGAAAGAAGACCCCCCACCCCCAACACCGAGTTCCTGGAGAATACTTGGAGGATGTGGGGCAGCTCTGTGCACCAGGCTGTGCTTTTGTGCCGTGTGTGAAAGGTCGGCCCCCTGGTTGGGGTGAGGGGCCCCGGGTCAGCCCCGCTGTGCGGACACTGTGCAGGGGTGAGGACGCAGGCAGTTCCGGGCTCAGGGACTGGTAGTTGTGGGTGTCATCGTGTGGACCGAGGCTCTCATGTCTTCCTCCTGGCTCACCGTTACTGAGAGGCTGTGTTTTCCAAAATGACATCCAGTTAGCAGCCGTGATTAGGTCTTTATTACGTGTGTTTATGCCCTAGAAGAAAAGGTGGGGGGCTGGTCGTCAGCCGGTTATAACACTGCTCCTTTATTCAGATCCACCGGGTGCTGCTGCTCTCTCTGTCTCTGTGTCTCTTTGTCTGTATGTCTCTCGCTGTGTTTGTCTCTTTGTCCTTCTGTGTCTTCTACGTGTCTCCCTGCTGCCTGCCCCCGCTCCCCCCGCCCCCCCACATGCAGGTGCATGGCTGTCTGACTCTCACACTCAGGTATGTGGGTCTATAATCTTGGCCACTGCTCTGATGATAGTATCCTCCTTTCATAGTTGGGAAAAAGGAGCCTTAAAAAGCTGGAACCCCTGGTGCTAGCTGTGGTTCTGTACGACTGCAGTGTCCTACCTCTCCTTGGTGGACGTTTCTCATCAGTCACCATCTGCTTTCCACTGGGAGGAGGAGACCCAGGGCACCTCACTGCTCCCCCAGCCGCTCCCCAGTCACTGGGACTAAAACCGGGTCCCTCCTGCCAGTGTGTTTGCCCTGGGTCTCCCAGCCCGTCTCTGTCCTCACTCTGCTCGGCCCTCCCTGTCTCCTTGCTGGTCCCCCCACACCCGCTGTGGGTGTGCGTCTGCCCCTCGGCTCTTGCTCGCCTTCCCGGGTCTGTGCGGCCCCTCCGCCCTCCAGCAGGTGTCTGCTTAACCCCTGCACTCAGAGCCCTCCCTCTGCCTCCGGCGGCCTCACCTGCTCCCGGCTCCCTGGCAGCTCCCTGTTCTGCCTGCCCGGTGCATGGAACACGCGGCGCGATTCCCAGCTCCCATTGTCCATCTCCCGCGGTGGAAGCTCCAGTGGCCAGAACAAACCCCACCATCTGGCCATGCTCAGAAGGACCTGTTGGAGCATTAACTGTAAATGCCTGGGAGTTTTTTTTTTTTTTAATTGAATTTAAAAATCATAAACTCGGGGGCCACCCCGGTGGCGCAGCAGGTTGAGTGCAGCGCTGTGGAGCTGTCCGCAGCCTCTGCAGCACCGGTTCGATCCCGGCCACCAGAGAGATTCCTACATGGTATGGCTGACCTCTCCTGCCTTGCCTGCTGCTCCCCTCAGCAGTACCTTCGGTCTGTCTGCCTGTTCTGTTCCCCACTCTGTCTCTGGTGAATCCTCTCACCCTACCGCGCCTCTGGCCTGTACCCCAACTCTTGTATGAATAAATGAATCTTTAAAAAAAAATCATAAATTCGTCACTGTGTGCTCTCTTCCATTGCTGTCGACCAGATTACTTGTGGAGAACTGAAAAGCTCGGGGTGGCAGTTGGAGAAAATACCTAAGTCGGATTGTGTCCCCCTTTGTGTCTCCATGCAGGACTTACAGCTTCTGGAGGACGGAGATCTAACCTTGATAGGAGATCGGGGGACCACACTGAGTGGGGGGCAGAAAGCCCGGGTCAACCTTGCCAGGTAAATGGCATCTCAGGTGCCACCCTGCGTGTGCCTCTCACTGCAGTTAGCCCTGCTTCTTCCCCAGAGGCAATGCAGGTGGACTTTGCTTACCATGGGGCACCGCGGGTGGACCCCACTTACTGTGTGGGTGCTGCGGGTATAGCTCACTTACTGCAAAGTTCCTTGGGTAAACCCCATTTAATGCAAGATAGTGCAAGTGGACTGCACTTACTGTGGGGCACTGCTGGTGAACCTCACTTAATGCAGGACAATGTAGCTGGACCTCACTTACTGTGTAGCACTGTGGGTGGACCCCCCTTACTATGGGGTCCTTGTCTTGGTTGGTTCCTTTGGCTCTCAGAATGAACGCCACCCTGACCTTGAAGGCCGTCGTGCTGCAGACATGAGCTGTGGGGCTCTGACATCCCCCCTTTTCTAGGGCAGTGTATCAGGACGCCGACATCTACCTGCTGGATGACCCCCTGAGTGCAGTAGACGCGGAGGTTGGCAGGCACTTGTTCGAACTGTGAGTTGGCTCGTATTTTATGTTGTTTCTCCTTCCCGGGAATCCTCTAGATTTCAGGGAAAGAAAGTTTTTGGGCTTTCCTTGTGCTCTGCTGTCCCTGCATCCCCTGCCTTCCCTCTGCTGAAGACCCACCAGAGAGAAGGTTTGCACGCCTGGCGGGGCTCAGTAGGGAGATGGAAGAGGTGCTTGCAGGGTGGGGGCGTGCACGCTGTGGGGCTCAGGGGTAGATGCACAACCCCCCTCACTTCGCACTTGGTAGCTGAGGCGGATGCTTGCTGGCTGCAGGCCCCAGGTAAGATGCGCAGTGTTTTTGAAGTTGTGGTACCTTTGCTTACATAACTACATAAGTTTCAAGGGCACAGCTTCACATCTCGGTAAATGTAGAGGCCAAACCCTTCCCACCAAGGTCTGATGACCGACCGTTAAACCACAATCCAGCTGACCCGGCTCAGCAGCTTGGTGCTAGCCCGCTGAGCCTGCTCCATGAGAGGCAAAGCCTTCAGAGCTGCACCGGGCTCTGGGGACAGAGCCTGTTGGTGCACATGGACTAAGGTCTGGGTTTGGAAATGCTTCGTGAAGTCGGAGTTTCACAAAGATGCTTCCCTGTCAGAGTGAAGCTTCGATAATTGAAGTTGTTCCTGGATTCTCACGAGTCGAGCAAACCCCGGGTGGAGGGTTAACTTGAATTTGAAGCCAGGCGTCTAGAATCTGGCTGCTCCCCTTCTGTGGCTTCGGGTTTCTGGAGTGTTTCCTCTGGCTCTTGCTCAGCTACGGGTTGGGCAGCTCTGGGGTCTTCGCAGCGAGTGTTCAGCCCACGGGCCGCTGGACGCCACCAGGCAGTCTCTGCTGGCTTCTGACAGCTTTGCGAGCTGGCTCTGGCTAGCACAGCATCCTCAAGCCCCACGCCACGTCTTGCTGCAGTCCCGCTTTTAAAGGCCAAGGGTACTCTCCTCTGCATTTCCCTGCTCGCGGGGGTCATGGTGCAGAACGCCTTAGTTACTCGCAAAGGAGGACAGTGAGGCGGGAGACGGTGGGACCCGTGTTGGGCCGAATGTGGGAGACCAGGAAGTTTGCATTTCATTCCCTCCCCTGAAGAATTTGTCTCTACATGGAATATGTCCAGACAGACACCTGGGAAAAGTCCGTGGTACCCGGGCGGAGGAGAGTTTTGATAGAGATGACGCGTGCTAGGCGGAGTGGACGAGGCAGCTCTGGGCACTCAGCTCAGGCCGGAGAGCTCGTGGGGCGGGCTCCTTGGGATGTGCCTGAGGGGCCTGCAGGCTGGGAGGTTTCTGGAGGCTGAGAACAGGGTTCGGTTCCTGTTGTGAGGGGAAAGCAGAAGCACAGGTGTAGGGAAAGGAAGAAACAGCCTGTGGAAGAAGAACAGGTGCCTTATCCTTGGTGCGGGATGCAGTTGTAGTCGGAGAACACCGGCCGTCGGGGCTGCGTCCCTTCAGGCTATTAAATGTAACACTGTCGCTGGACGAACCTTGCACAGTTCTGGGCCTGAGAAAGTCCAAGGTCTGCGCAAACTTGGTGTGTGTGAGAACCTACGTTTCTTCTAGATGGTCATCTTCTTGCTGTGTCTTCACAGGGCAGGAGGGGCGAGAGGGCCCTCGCATAGGGCACTAATCCCATTCACGAGGGCTCCCCCATGGCCTCATCACCTCCCAGAGGCCCCCACCTCCACATAGCCTCACAGTGGGGATTAGGTTCCAAACTGTGAATTTTGGGGACACCTCCTTAACTATGGCAGATTGCCCTAAAGGAGCAATGCTGCCGGGGGAGGGGGTTTAGACAACAGAACTTCACCCCCTGCAGTTCCAGAGGCAGGAAGGCCCCGATCACGATCACGGTGTTAGGGGTTTGCTTTCTCCTCACGCCTCTCTCCTGTCTTCTGTACCCCTTGTCTCTCTCCTTATGTCCTCATCCACTCCTCTTCTGGGGACACCAGTCAGATGGGTTAGAATCTACCCCGAACAGCTTCGTTTTTAACTTAGTGACTCTTGAAAGGTCCTGCCCCTGAGTTCTAAGGTGCCGGGGATGGGGGAGGTAGTCCATTTACAGACGGTCCTAAAAGGAACATTAAAGAGATTCAAGTAGTCAGAGGCCTTCTGAGCCTGTTTCCCAGGAGTGGGTTCCTGCCCGTCCTGCCCTCCATGCAATGTGGGGGCTTGGTGGGTTTCCCGCGTTTCTCTCCCAGCGTCTCCATGTAGAAGGTGCTTCAGCAGCAGCCATGACAGAGCCCGGCAGTGCATGGTGGTGAGCACTGCATGGCCATGTGCATGTTAATGCCACTGAACTGTGTGCTAAAAATGGTAACATTTTCTGTCACTTATGTTTAGCACTGTCACGGAGGGCAGAGAGACTCCGGATCTGTCCCTGCACAGGGAGCAGGGCCTGCTGACGCTCAGCTCAGCCTCCAACTCTGGTCTGACCCCTGCCCCTCCCCATGGACAGTGACTTGGCTGAAGTCCCCTTAGGCAGAGACTGAGATTCCCCTCACCCCCATCCCGGGTGGTGGAGTCCCCAGAAGCTCAGCCTCCAAGTTCCCCGACCCCTTCCCTTGCAACTTGCAATCTCCTGTCTCCTGTCTTGTGGGAATCTGTCTGTCCCTCCAGCACAGCAACGGCAGGTCATCGTGGGGGCTTCCCTGGGGAGGACTCAGGGATCCCGGTTGCCAATCTCCTTGCGCCTTATCACAGCAGATGCTCTCGCAAGTTCTCCCCCAAACACGGGAGGTATTTATAAAGTCCTCTCGCACCTTTCAGGTTTAATGACTTTGGATATACACTTGATAGAAGCAAGCTTGTTAAAATTGTCGTTTGCTAATCAGAACCACATTCTTTGGGGGAACTTGGGGCAGGGAGCACGCAGGCAATTTAGGAAATCACTCAGCAGCAGCTGGAGAATGTTCTCAGCGAGTCAGAAAATTGGATTGAACAATGCGCCCTGAAAGATGGCGGTGGCGTTGGCAATGGGAAGCGCTTTGTGTGAAAGGGGAGTGAGTGACGCTTGGGCTTGCCATTAATTTTCGTTCTGTCTCGATTCCGTATCCAGGGTTATTAAGGTTCGTGAGCTGCACGGCTTTCTGGGGTACCCAAAGTGGATTCCGTGACTCTTAGAAGGTCTGGCCCTTAGTGAACGGATGCCCTTACAGGTGCTTCTAGCTGTGCATCTCTTAGAAAACCCCAGCTCACTCGATGGCCCCTCCTGTCTCATCTGTTCTGTGGGTCTGTCCTAATCTGACCCCCCCCCCCTCAATTCAGCCTTTGTCCTTCTGACCTTGCGTGTGGCCTTGGCTTCCCTCCTCCAAGGTCACAGTGTTGTGCAGTCATCTCTCACACCAGTCTGTAGTCCAGCTGTGCAGGTGTTTGAGGTGTGCATTAATGGGGGTGTGCCCTGATGGGGGTGTGCCCTTTCTCTGCCTGCCTTCTGTCCAATCAGGGACAGTGACCTGGGCAAAGGAGAGAGGAAAGATGCATCCCCTCCCTTCTGCCTTCCCTGTCTTTCCAGGGCACTTGTGCCCTCCTGACTTCTGCAGCCCTCAGTGGGTTGTACTCAGTCGTCGAGGGGTCCCCCTACTCCACAAAACTGAATGTGTGGGAATGCCAAGGCACAGCTTGTTTCTGTCCCAGAACCTTGGCACTGACTGTCCCTTCTTCCCAGACCGTCTGCGGGCACAGGCGCTACTTCCATCCAGACAGCGACCTGCACCTTGCCTTTCTCCAATGCGTGCGCGCACTCGGTGCATTTTCTATGTTCAGGAGTGTGTCTGCCGAATGCAATGTTGTTGTCCTGACCTGTGCATGTACTCAGCACTGGAACAGTGCTCGACAGATGTTTGTTGATTGAATGAATGAAGGTAGTGTCTCTGTTTCTTTGCATCACTTCCCTCATGCTATGCAGCCCCTCTTTATACAGTCCTTATACCAGATAAGAGTGGTTGAATCGGGCCTCCCCGGTGGCGCAGCGGTTGAGCGCTGGGTTGCGAAGCTGCCCGCAGCCTCTGTGGTGCCGGTTCGATCCCCGGCTGCTCCCCGGCCACCGGAGGAGGGTCCCACATGGCGCGCAGACCTCTCCTGCCGCCCGCTGCTCCCCTCAGCAGTGTACTTCGGTCCTTCTGCCTGCTCTGCTCCCCGCTCTGGCTCTGGTGAATTCTCTCGCCCTCCCGTGCTTCTGACTGTACCCAGTGCTTGTATAAATAAATAAATAAATCCTTAAAAAACAAACAAATAAATAAATAAAGGGCACCAAACCAATATTTAAAAAAAAAAAAAAAGTGGTTGAATCATGTAACTTTTTTTTTTTACTCACCTGACTGAGGAATTTTTACTCTTAAGAGCTTGAGATAATAGGATGTTTTCTCGATTGTGATAAAAGGCATAATTTAGGAAAATTAAAAAAAATACCCCAAAACTGTTCTGTTGGTGCATATTGGTCATGGCAGCCTATTAGGTTTTGTTGACATTTACCTGCAGCAGCTTCTTGCCAGGTGGCTTTTTTTTAAAAAAATTTTTTTATTTATGCATAAAAAGAACTGGGGTATAGGCCAGAGTTGTTGGGGGGGTGGGTGAGAGGATTCACCAGAGAGAGTGGGAGCAGAACAGGCAGATTGACTGAAAATCGCTGCTGAGGGGAGCAGCGGGCGAGTCAGGAGAGGTCTGCTGCACCACATGGGTTGCTCCTTGGCCGGCTGGAATCTAACTCGTGCTGCAGAGGCTACGGACAGCTTCATAGGTTGTGTCTTAACAACCTTGCGCCACCTGGGAGGCCCCTGGCAGGTGACTTTGAATTAAGCATCCAGAATTCCTTGATGAGATTTAGTGCTGAGCCTGAGGAGAGCTTGCCTGACCGAGACACTTAGGTGGGAAAGCCAAAGATGGACACATATGAATAGTCAGTCCTTTCAGGCTAGAGAAGGAAGCCACCCAAGTGCATCCTGGGGCCTTCTGCTCTTCAGCCAGCCTCATGTGTCCTCTTAGGACTGTTTCAGCCTGAATCTAAACAGATGGCCACCTGTGGGTTAGGGGCGAGCGGAGAAGGGAGCTGACGTTTATGAGCAGGTGCAAGTGCTTTTATTCTCCAGTACAGGCCTTTGCGTTGACTCAGTTTGAGGGGAAGAAACTAAGGTTCAGAGAGCATTTTAGTAGCTCTCCCAGCAGCAGGCTTGGAAGAGAGGAAGCGGGGATTTGAATTCCAGTCAGGGTATCCACCCAGCACTCTTGATCAGACCCAGCTCAGAATAGTGGCTGTGGCCCGTGTTCCTGAGATTTGCCCTGCCAGCCAGGAGTCCTGTCATTGGTCCACAGGGCCTGGTACCAGTTACTCTCTTACCTGGAGAGTGAGGGGTGCAGGTGGGACAGAGTCTGCATTTACAATGTCGGAGAACTTTGAGGTGCTAGCGGAAAAAAAAATCTCTTTTTTATTTATGCATACAAGAACTAGGGTACAGGCCAGATGTGCAGGGGGTGAGAGACCAGAAACAGAGTGGGGAACAGAACAGGCAGACTGACTGAAATACACTGCTGAGGGGAGCAGCGGGCAAGACAGGAGAGGTCTGCTGCACCATGTGGGTAGCTCCCTGATCAAACTCGTGCTGCAGAGGCTGTGGATTGCTTCATAGTGTAGTGCTTACCCCTTGTGCCACCAGGAAGGCCCGGAAAAATAGCTTAAGCTTAAACACTGAGGAGAGTTGGCTTACAGAATTGGTGTTTTCTTTTAAGCCAGTGGACTCCACTCTGATTTGGGCCAATTAGAGTCTCATCTTCGATATTCATGTTCAGGAGGCTTTCAGCCCGAATGAAAAAGGATTTGCTTCCTGGATGGGAACCCTATATAGACTGATCGAAACTGTGCTGACATTCATTTTTCTATTGCATCTGATTTGGGAAGAAGCATCTAAAAATTGCATTCTGGCAAAGATGACTGAGAACTTAGGACTTGTGTGGTGGTTACTGTGTATATCATAAGATGTAAAGAAAGGTATACATTTTGATGTGACATAGATCCCTCTTCCATTCCTGCACAGCAATAAAATAATCTGTAGTTCACTTAGGTTTGATTTTGGAATCCCATTATGGCTCAATTGCTTTTCATCATGGAATATATAAGTAGCATTTAAATTAAATTTTAGGGGAAAAAAGAACAAAAAAAACCCCAAACAGTACGACTCAGCAATCACTACCACCTTCAATGGTCTGCTTTTGTAGAATTTCTTAGCAGAGCTAAATGCTAGCTTGTCACTAGGTAATCTGAGGTCCTAGTCAGCTTCATTAATGACTCTTACTTATATTTAATTTGTATTTGTGTTTGACTTGTATCTGTATTGATATTTGAGCTACAGACCCTTGACCACAGTGTTGTCTTTGTCTCATGATATTTTCTAAATGTGTGTTGGTTCGTGTTTTCATTTGAAACACCCCCATTAATGTGTTTTTTGCCTACTGTCTGTGCCTTTTGCCTTTATAGGTGTATTTGTCAGAGCTTGCACGAGAAGATCACAATCTTGGTGACTCACCAGTTGCAGTACCTAAAAGCTGCAAGTCAGATTCTGATATTGAAAGATGTAAGTAATGTCTTCAGATCCCTGGAACTTGCTAGTTCTCAAGTGTGTTGAGATGAGGCCTCCAGTGGCTTAGGGTCCTGGGATTTTTGGTCACCTCCCTCCTGTTCCTCACGTGGATGTCCTGTTCTTCTTTGAGCTGGTATCCACGCCTTTGAGGATGAATCCAAAGACAGTAGCAACGTCACCATTGACTTCTGTGCTCCCAGAGTGCGTACATTCTCCACCACCAAGGGCCCAAGCCGTAACTGTTACAGCAATAGATACTGTTGAGGGCAGTGATGATGTTTTTCTTGGAACACCTTTGTTTTCTTCTGAAAACCAAGAGGAAGTCAAAGTATGTAACGAGGGGACGAGAGAGGCTGAGGCAGGCTTGGAGCCCCGTGACTGTCATGGGCATTTTGCAAAGAGCATCCTCTGTTATAACAGGTGGGAGCACCTTTGCTGCCGGGCTCGGTGCACCGGTCTTTGCTCCCTCCCCGCGCGGGTGAGGGCCTGTGCAGCAATGGGAAACAGGTCTCCACCATCACGGGGCTTGCATTCTGTATGGGGGAGATGCGTTGGAGGGGTGAGGACCCCCGCAGGACTGCCTTCTGGGAGCAGGCATCTTCCTGAGTGCCAGGACGGTGCTGGCATGCTGTCACCAGGAGGACGGGCACCTGAGCCTGGAGGACCTGGCAGGTCCCAGGGGAGGAGCTGTTGGGGGATTGCCAGGAAGGACAGGGAGGCTGAGGGCAAGTGAGCCAGAAGAGTGTGGGAGGAAATGGGCTGGGTGGAGGGGGCCAGGGGGACTTTCGGGCCCAGAAAGGAAGGGGCCAGGGGGACTTTTGGGCTGGATGCAGTAGACAGCCCAGAGCAGAGGACTGATGTGGTTCTTGATGTTCGCCTGAGGGGAAAGAGCAGGAACAATTAGTACCCTGGGTATTTCTGCAGACAGAATTGTGAGCTCAGGCCTGTGGGTCAGTTTCTAGAGCTTCCATAACAACTTGAAACAACAGACATGGATCGTTTCACCATTCTGGAGGCGGCAGGCGTAGAGTCTGAGAGAAGGGCTGCGTTCTGACTGCAGGCTCTCGGGGCGAGTCCTTCCTCACTGCCTCTATCCAGTCCTGGTGTTAGCTGGCTGCCCTGGCCCTTGGCTGTTCATGGGCCTCAGCCGCCCTGGCCCTTGGCTGCCCTTGGTCCTCGGCAGGCCTTTACATGCAGCCACAGCTCTGTGGTGTCTGCCTCTGTTGTCATCTGTGTCCGCCTGGGTCCCATCAGTCACCTTGGATTTGGAGTTCCCTCTACCACAGTCTAACCGCATCTGACTTAAGGACACCTGCAAACACCTTACTTCCAGATAGACACACATTCACTGGGCCCAGGACTCAAGCATATTTTGGTGGGTAGAGCAGAAGGGTCACCATTTAGCCCACAAGAGCTGCCAGCCTGATTGTGGGTGGAGGGCAGTTGAGACTGCCTCAGGCTTAGCAGTTCATGCCCCTTGGCTTGTGCCTCTGCGCTCAGCACCTGCCGTCCTTAACCCTCATGTGTCCCAACAGACCCTGGTCACATCCCTCATGGTGGCATGGAAATGCCTTTTAGTGCCTTCAAGCATTTTGGTATTTAACCTTCCCCATTCTTCTGGTAAAACAGACACGTGCAAGGACTGTTACCTACAGTTCACAAGACCTTGTTGGGTACCACTCCCGGGGAGAGGCATTTCACACGGAGATGAATGTGAACATACAGTTGACCCTTGAACAGCGAAGGACTTGGGGTCTTGACCTTGAATATAACTCTTGACTCCATGCAAACCTGACCACTATTACCTGCTGTTGACTTACTGGAGACCTTTTTGATAAATAAATTGACTAGCATGTCTTTCGTATTATTATATACTGTATTCTTATAATAAAATAAGCTGGAGAATAGAAAATGTTCTTAAGAACATCATCAGGAAAGACATTTACTGTATGAAACTATATTTATTGGAAAAGTGTCCATGTGTTAAGTGGAACCTGGGAGTTCTAACCTGTCTTGCTCAAAGGTAGCAAAAGACTTTTTGTTTAGCGCCCCCTTCCTGCTGAGTGTGGTGACTACAGGACAGCGAGGCCCTGTGTTAAATGCATCAAATGAATTTCCTCCTAAGGAAGGTGAAAGACAAAACCTCTACCTCATGAGAAGCACTTTCATTCATTGATTCTCTTCTCCAGGAACAGGAAGCTCAACTAGCTCACAATTAAACAATTAATTTCCTGGGCAGAGGGATGAAACTAATGTGATTAAAACCCCCGTGTTGGCAGAATTAAGATTACAGAATCAACGGACAGGACAATAATCAGCCTAGATGTTCTGGGCACCCCCTGAGTCAGTTTTTTAATACTTAGCAAAACAACCAGCCGTCCACTAATGGGCACCTGTAGATGAGTTGGGGTCCAGCCTTTCTAGCAAGAGACAGGAGTGGCAGCCCCCTCTGTCACCTCTCTGCATTGTCAGGATTTGAGCTGGGAATGAAATTACTGCTTCTATCCGAGGACTGCTTCCCGTGCGGTATACAGATACTAAGTGCAGAGGGGTTATTTCACTGAGTAAAGCGTATGCAATTTAGCCTCCCACGTGGAATGAGATGGATATATCGTGAGTAATTTTCTAACATTGCAGGTTCCCACTGTTCTGCAGAACCCAGAAGCGTCACTGGATTTTTCTCAGATCTCCTTTGGGGGTGGGGAGGTAGGAAGAGAGGGGTTCCAGGTGGGGTCCCGACCACCTGCCTCCACCTGTTTGGTTTGTTTTGCATGCTGGGATTTTGCCTCATATTATTTTTTTTTTTTTGAGTAAATCAAGTGTATCTGGTTTCATGGGATATGAAAACCGTGAAAGCACGTGCTGGTCTTTTATATGGCCTTGTAAGTAGGGGAATTTGTGTGATGAGTTGTCACCTGTGCTCAGTGCCTTTGATGGACCGGCGCTTAAGTGGCGGCCTTATTTTGGAAAGCCTGGTTGGCTGCTTGCGACTGGTGATGAAGTTTGCTTTTCTTGGCTTCAAGTGCATGGACTCTGGCTAAGGTTTTGGTTTGATTGCATAGCCCTGTCAGCCTAATGGCCTCCTGGTTGGATTACTTTAACACCTGGCATGTTGACTTTTCAGTGGGGGGTCATGCTGAGTTTGGGGGTTAGCCTTACAGTAAATCCCATGAAGGTGTAGTTCATGGGCTCAGTGTCTGGAGCTAGGTTCCCAGACCTCTTATCCCAATGGGGCATTGGATACCCTCACAATGGTATGGAAAGGTTTGAGTGACTTTTACATGTGCAGACCTACTGTGTCCACCTATGTGTCAGTCTGCATTTCCTTTCCAGGGATGTCCTCCCTAGTCCAGGCTGTTCTTTTAAATTCTATTCACTATACCAAGCTTTTATCAATGTCTGCATTTTCTAAAAAGACTCTACTAATACTCCCTCCAACATCTACATTTTTGCTTCTTCAATGCCCTTGGTAGTTATCTCAGTGACCTCCATTTTTAACACATGATTACACATTTCTTTGTTGTCCCCCACACTGGGTTGGCAGAGAACAGAATGCTTGGTTCTGCATTGAATTGAATTGAACTGGGCTTGTCCATCAGACTTCTAGACCTAAGGGTAATTTTTTTTTTCCAAAGATCCTAATTTGAGACCAGTTAACTTTCTTTGATTCGTACTAGATTAGATTAGTATTATCAAATGCAAATGTACTCCTCTCAAATTCTTTGTTTTAGGGCAAAATGGTGGAAAAGGGGACTTACACTGAGTTTCAGAAATCGGGGGTAGATTTTGGTTCCCTTTTAAAGAAGGAAAATGAGGAGGCTGAACCATCTCCAGTTCCAGGAACTCCCACGCTGAGGAATCGGACCTTCTCAGAGTCATCTGTGTGGTCTCAGCAGTCTTCTAGACCCTCGTTGAAAGATAGTGCTGCAGACGGCCAGGAGGTTAGTCCGTCCCATCTCCACATGCCCTGGTTCCGCGTGCTCCAAGGAGTCTCATGCTCTCACCTACTGGGTTCATGACACCTCTGATTATCCCAGAGATTTCCAGGCCTTATTCCATGGTATTGGTAGAATCGAAACAGAAAGAAGGGAGCAGGCCTGTGTAGGATTCTTCCCTGCGTGTTGAATGGAGACTTGCAGAGACGCGTAGTAGTTATAATATCTACATAAAGATCTCAGGTGTGTATGACTCACTGATTTTAACATTCTTGAATTTACTGGAGGTAAATCCTACTTGCTCTGGTGACCCTTTTGCATCCAGAGAGTTAATTTTGAAGACCTACTCAGCCTGAGTCCTGCTATGGCCCATGTTAGATGAGTGACTTCTGTGTGGGGGAATGTTCTGGCACCGCAGGTGGCTGACATTGTTTTGCCCCCTTGTCAGATGGCTTGTGTTGGGCCAGGAGTTTCCATCGGTCTTTATTTATTTATTTATTTATTTATTTTAAATAACAAATTTTATTTTTATATTCCCCATACAATTGCAACCCCCCATTCTGTCCCCAATCCCTCCATCGGTCTTTCTTAACCTTCAAGACCGAGAGCATGTCTTGCCTGTCTTGGAATCCCCAGTGGCCAGCACAGAGCCAGGGACGTCCCTGTGAGCCTGTGGTGTATTCTGTGTCCTTTAGACAGAAATGCGTTCAGAAGCCCTTCGAAACACACGCAGGCACCCCTCAATATCCAGACCCTTACTAATCAAACCCGGGAGCCCCGCTGATTCTGAGAGGCCCTCAGATTATTCTCTTACTTTACAAACTTGGGAATTCCTCTGAAATACAGCAACCAGATAGATTCAGATCATAGATTATCCCTTGCTCTTCAAACTCTCACTACTCCAACTGGCTGTTCCAACTCGGTGTGCTGCATTTGACTTACATTTTGAGTCCCTACTGTGTTCCTCTCCTATTTTATTTGGAACAAGCTTCTGCATCGAGACATGAATCAGGGTTGGAGATGAGGCTGTCCTACTGCTGTTTCCTCCACAATGAGTAACCTTGTGTGGAGGATGTTTCCCTATTTCATATAGATCCTGGAGGTGGGATGGCTGGGTCCCAGGGCGCACGCACGAAGGGTTTGGGTAGACGTGGGCACACGTTCTCTGTAGGAGTCACACCCTTTTTCACGCCTACTGGCAGGTGTGGGCACTGTCCAGCTTTTGTGTCCAGAGACTTAATTTGAAATTTTGAAATTTGGGGTATATGCCTTCAAAACTTCATTTAAAATCTTGCTTTTTCCCCTTCCCAGCCGGAGAATGTACAGGCTGCGCTACCAGAGGAGAGTCGGTCTGAAGGAAAAGTCGGCTTCAGGGCCTACAAGAATTACTTAGCAGCAGGTGCTCACTGGCTTGTCACTGTTTTCCTTCTCCTAGTAAACATCGCAGCCCAGGTAAGCAAGGGCATGCTTTCTGTGCCCTCAGCTTCATATTTACAGTAGGATTTTGTGTACTTACTTAGATATTATGCTGACTGCATTGTGTCACCTCCTGGGGTTGGCCTTGAAATGTGCTGACTTTGAGCAACAAAAATAAGGGATGCTTGCTGGTTTTGTGTGTTCATTGCAAAGAGCTTCTAAAAAACAAGGGTGTGCCTACAAGACGCTTTATGGAACCTGCATGTGTTTGTTATGTGCCCAGGGGCCCTTCCAACCTGAGCTGGAAGGACCCGTTGTGTTCATTGGAGCCCCTCCAGGAGCTGTTTTAGGGGTTCAGTCTTGGGGGTGGTAAGTAATGGGGGTTTTCACAATCTGTTGCTGTTTCCCTCCTCCAGGTTACCTACGTTCTTCAAGACTGGTGGCTTTCATACTGGTGAGTTGTTTCAGCCTGAGGCCAAGTGCTGTGACATCCCTGTGACTTCTTACTCAGACTCTGGTGGGCGGGCATGGTTTGCGCAGTCTCCTGTGCTGTCGTCCTTGCTGCCTTTCCCTGAGGAAAAATTAAAGTTCTTGCTGGTGGAGTGTGACCTGAAGTGGTCTCACCCCACGTCTGATCCTCACCAGTCCTCACAGACCACTTTGGCACCTGCAAGTCACGATTCACGTGGGATTTTTTTTTTAAAGATTTATTTTATTTTTATACAAGAACCAGGGTACAGGTCAGATGCGCGGGAGGGTAAGAGGATTTACTGGAGACAGAGCAGGGAACAGAACAGGCAGACTGATGAAATACATTGCTGAGGGGAGCAGTGGGCAAGACAGGAGAGGTCTGCTGCACCATGTAGGATTCTCGCCCTGCTGGCTGGTGTCAAACCCGCGCTGCAGCGGCTGCAGACAGCTTCACAGTGCAGCTCTCAACCACCTGCGCCACCAGGGAGGCCCTCAAGTGGGAGTTTTATAAGGATGTATACAAGGGCATGTGAGCTGGGAGTCACATTCCAGTGTCGAATGTGTCTCCCAGACGAGGTTAAACTTTTTTTTTTTTTTAAATCATCTAATTTTCTTCTGTGGCGTGATATTTTTCCTTCCCTCTTCCACAGGGCAAATGAACAAAGTGCCCTCAATGTCACTGCAAATGAAATGGGAAATGTAACCAAGTCACTGGATCTTAACTGGTACTTAGGAATTTATTCAGGTAAAGTTTAATCATTTGGTCCATTATTCGAGAGTCTGAGGTGCTTACAATGAGCCTGTGTGAGGAACTAGGGCTTCTAGGAGTAATTCAGTAATGTCTTAACAGATTAAGAGACTGAGTCGCATTTATGCTGTGAATTAATTAGAATAATTATTTTTAAAATCTACTAGAAGAAAGAGGTTGAATGAAGACTCTTAATTTGCTCTGTACTGGATTTTCGACGTTAAAACAGGATTGAGCATTCAGAAAACCAGCCACTGGAAATATGTGGCTATTGTCTATTCTAATAGGTTGCTTTCGCTAAATCTTATATCATTATATGGATGGGCAAGGGGATTAGAAACGGATCCCCACCCTGTGGTTCGGATTGTTCCAATTCTGTCTGAATAAACCCCAGCTTTTATTGAACTTGGATGAAATCCTCTGGCAGCAAGGCCCCCCAAATAAAAGCATTATTCCCTTGCAGGTATGCAAAGCTCCCTCCACCATACTGCTCATCTCTTGGGCTTCACTAATTACCTAAGAAGGAAGCTAAGCAGGGAAAAATCCAGTGTCTGGGAATTAGGATTCCTTCTCTTTCTTACCTGGAGATCACAATGTTATCGCGTTCCCAACTGTGTGATTAATTTAACATTTGGCTTGCCAGGCTAATATTAACACAGCACTGTGCTTTCACCAGAGTGCTTGGAATATATGTAGCATTACATACTTTTAAAAGAAATCCTCATCTAAAATTTTAAATATTCCCATAGGAAATGCATATACAAGCTTTCCGCAAAGATAGAGTGCGTTATCTTTGTAAGACCCTGCTCATTGAAATTTGGTATTTATTTTGTTGATCATTTGGCTCAGAAATGTAAATCCATTAGCTGTTTACCTTCTGAATTGGTGGACGATGTGAGGCCAAAAGGAAGTCAGAAAATGGTCCTATTATGTATTCATGTGGGGTGATGGCAGCCTGAGGAAAATGCCGTGGATGGAATTGAGGAATTTGAATGGCTTTCAGAGTTTAAATAACAGTATTGTGTCATCTGAAGAGGAAAAAAGGGAAAAAAGTAATTGATGGAATATTTACTATAGAAGTTATTCCCACTTTATTTCACATTGTGAGTTCAAGAGATGTTGGAGGAGCTGTTTTATTAATTTTACGTTCATAGCAAGTTCTCATTTGTGTCTTATTAATAAAGCAACACTTGTAAGTGATTATGTGCCTTTAAAAATGTTTCCTGTTTCTATGAAACATTGGGAGGATCGTTTAGTCATTGCATGTTAAAAGATAATTTATATTTTCTTGCAATTCAGGTAGTTAAGAGATTTCCATTTGCAACTTCATATGATGGACATTTAAATACTTGGGCATTTGCTCCAAGGAAATCATTTCTCCTCTTCCTTGTTCACTCACATTCTGTTATTAAGTCATACCACAATTTTCGATTAAGGGACATGTTGTAAATAAGAACATTTGGTAGGTGGAGAAGGAAGATCAAATATTTTTTATAATTTGCTTTCATATGGCTGAATTTCTCATTATCATTGAATGAGGAAAGTCCAGAATGAAATTGTAGTTTATACCTGATAACTACATACCCCTTATGTAGTTTCTGTTTAATGAGAGACAAGTTATTTTATTTTCTTGGTAAATGAATCTTGTGAATAGATTGACTCTTACAGAATCCACATGCCTTATGACATAAAATAAACTGCCTGACATACCGTCGGAGAAAAGTCTTTCTGAGTGACGCCTCTTTTTCCAGGTTTAACCGCAGCTACCGTCCTCTTTGGCATAGCAAGATCACTGCTGGTGTTCCATGTCCTTGTTAGTTCATCCCAGATTTTACACAACAAAATGTTTGCATCCATTTTGAGGGCTCCAGTATTGTTCTTCGATAGAAATCCAATAGGTAAGTCAGACCCCACATTGCTCAGTAAAATATGTCCTGTTAAGATATTTCGTATCTGATTACATTTCAGTATTTGAAAACGGGGTCTCAGATGCTGGGGAGAAAATCTCTACACTTGTTGATTCTTCATGTCTTTGTCTCTACCAAAGAAAATGTGAACATGGCGGGGGGCGGGGGCGGCATTCTGTCTTTATTCTAGTGTGTGTGTGTGTGTGTGTAAAAATAAACGGATGTGCACTTTGCAGAGTGATTGTGGAAGCCATTTGTTGTGTGATGTGTGAAATAGTGCAGATGTGTTTCAATGTAGTGACTGCCTGAGGGCTGTGTCCACAGCGTTAAACGAGGTCAAGGAGTCGCACTCCGTGAGGCAGGTGTGTGTTTTACTGCTCAGCTGTTTCTGGCACCACACGGCTCTTGCACATGCCCTAAGTACAAAGAGCTACCAAAAGTCATGATGAAAATGAGTTAAAACCCAGGATTGGCAAAATGTGATCATCCTTTTCAATAATCCTTTCTACCTCTGTATTTTTCATGTGGGCTTTCGGTTACATTTTAGAGGCTTTGTCCTACCTGCCAGGTAGGTTTGCAGGAGTCAGTTTCATGCGATGAGTGTTCCTGGTGGTTTCCAAGTGGGGACGCCTTCACCCCACGCCTTCATCCTTGCTGGCTCTGAAGGCAACCTCCTGCCCCGGGTTCCTGTGAAGAGTTGGTTCATCAGCATCCACCCCTGCAAGGGAGCACAGGTGTGGCCTTGGCCTGGCCACTTACCCACTGGTGGCCAAGGCCATTGCGTGTGGATACTGCTGAGCAGGTAAATCTCCAAGTGGTTAAAAGTGCAGACTCTGGAGCCTCCTGCCTGAACTGGTCACTAGTGGTGACAGCTGGTCATAGTCACATCCTGCTTCTGTCTCGTCATTTCATTGCTCTATGCCTCGCTTTTCTTATTTGGAGAGGGGGGCTATGCTCCACACCTACTGGTCAGTATATTTCGGGAATTAAGTGGGAAGCTATCCACAGTGTTTAGAACAGGGCCTGGCACTGGGTCAGGGCAGGATGAAACTACCTGGGAACTTCCTCACCAGAGAAACCAAACAATGACTGCCCTTCGGGTTTCCCGAGATCTTGGTGGGGATGAAATCTCTTCTGGAAAGCATCTCATGTGGAAGGACTCAGCAGTGGTTGGGTTGTTTAGTCCCTGCAAAGCACATGGAATGGGAAATCAAGGAGGCCCACACCAACCTGGTCTTATTACATGCTGGTTCCAAGGTGATGGCAGCTGTTCTGCTCTGCTAGTTGATTTGAAAACTGCAGTCATAAAGTTCTGTTACCCAGCCTCAGAAACCTTCGTTACCACAGTTAACCCAGCTCTGCGTGTTTAAGACCTCTTGGCTTCTCCAAATGTCAATGTATATGCATTTTAAGGATTTGGGCCAAGCCTGAGTCTTGGAGGTCACTAATCTTTCAGCAGCATACTCCTGTTTATCTTGCCTGCTTCCTTCTCAATCTGTTTAGCAGAATTGTTTGCCTTCAAGAAATTACAAGTCCCAGTAAATACTCCAAAGATAGACCTAGTTTGCCCAAAATATTGAGCGACTAAATTATTTACTAGCTATGTGGTAGCATAAAAACTTTTTTTTTTCAATTAAAAATATTTTTGTTAGGTGGTCCATTTAAAATTTCCATTTGGATTAAAATAAATTTTTATTATGGGAAGAACAAGCCAAAAGCTATGAACTGTGCCTCAAGGTCAGTCTCATTGGTTGTCTATACTTGAATGGGTATATGATATATTTTTTTAAACATGTCTCCTCTACAGTGGAAAGGTACAAATGTATTTTGCAGTCATTCTGGGATGCTCCCAGCCCACATGTGCCCTCTCTCTGCCATGCTTCCTTCTACATCCCCAGGAAGAAAGAAACCCTTTGCACTTAAACAGAGAACCTTCCATAGAGGAGTCTGAAATTCTTGCCACCCCACCTGAGTCCCAAGTTCAGTTTCTTGGATTTAGGAAGGGCCAGGAGGTTTCTCTGGGTACTCGTCACTGTGCCAGATGGCGGGCTTATAAGACAGCTCCATCTCCTCAAGTTAGATTAACAAGTTTGGTAGCAGGAAGTTTGTATATATAAACTGATACCTTATTTGTCTTCTGGTCTTTTATGACCTGGTCGATCCTAAGATAATTGGGTAAAAACATTAAAGTTTTAAAAATTGAGATAGCATGTTGGCTCATCGCGCGGGACAGGTTTCAGGGGCACAGCATTATAAATCAGTCTCTCGATGGGCGACGTCTCGTGCATCACCAGAAGCCTAGTTTCCACCTTTCACTCTGCAATTCACTTCCCTTTTACCCCACTTGCCTAACCCCCTATTTCCTTTCTGGCAACGACTATTTTAGTTTTAAGAGTTCTCTTTAGTTCTTTCATTTTGTTTCTTTCTTTGGCACATATGGCTGAGATTACAGGGTGATTGTCTTTTTCCCTCTGAACTTATGTCACTTGGCACCATGCTCTCTAGGTCTGGATTTGGGTACAGAGGGATGCAAATTGCAGGTGGCCCGAGGATGGCAAAAGAGTGTTTCCTTCTTCTCTTTTTACCTCATCCACCTCCAGTTTTCCTCCTTTTCTCCTTGGGTGCATTCAGTATTGGTCCCGTGCGTGTCTAAGAAGAAGCTGACAGTCCTCAGCCGCCGCTTCTCTTGCGCACTTTGATGGCACCTGCAGGTGAATGGTGCCTTGGCAGACAGGACTGGTGTGTCCCGTGCTGTTGGCTGCAGAGGCCTCCGCCTCTGGTCCACATCTGCTTCTCCCGTGGCCCTGTTTTAACTTCTGTCAGATCAAATCCCAGGTCAACAATAAGTTGCTGCAAGATGAAGAGACAATTCCTATTGTAAATGTGACTGCGTTTCCCTTGCATGGGCGGGATTCATTTACTTTTTCTCGTCTGGCACAAGAGGGCAGCATGGCCTTCGTTATGCAGGGCTCTCGGGGAAGGGCACCCAGCTTATTGCCAAATCTGGCGGGTTTTATTTTACAGCTTTCTTGGAGCTTCCATTTTTTTATAGTTGGGATCTTGGTATTCTTGTCGTGTCGATGTGGAATTTTAAAAGCACAGTCATGGTTGGTATGAAATACGAACTCTTTATTCAAGAAGTATCCAAAACAAAGTGTTAGCCAGGTAGAGCCAGCTTTTCAGACAAGGTTGTTTGCATTTCTTAATTGACACCTTCTCACCTTGTTGCGGGAGAAGACAGCCGCGGACACCGAGGCGGGTAGCTAGATTGTAATCCTAAAGGGTAGATTATGAGCGCGTGTGTAGACTGTTTTTGTTTTCCTCTTTAACACGAGTTTCAGGGCAGAAATAGAACCACAGTTGCCTGTTATTTGCCTCCTCTTCAGCAGAGGCATTTTCTTCTTCTCATCAGGGCTGCTCCGCAGTGAAACCCTCTGCTCTGGGGACAGGATGCGTGTTGGACTGTCTTGTGTTTTCATGCCTAATTACAGTGGCACAGCACTTGACTGAGATCAGGGACCGGGCTCCAGATAAACAGTTGTTTATTTGCTTTCAATTTGTTAATTTGGCTTTGCAGACACAGAGCCACCGGTGTCACTGGGTGTTTGTTCTCGGAGAAGGGCACAGTTAACACTGGACGGTGGCCAATGTGCTCATTTCACACCACGGGGTTTTTTTTTCTGCCCTGTTTTGTATGTGTGTGTGTTCCCTGGTGTATGCATCCAGTGTAAATGCACATACACTGTGTTTTCCTCTTTATCGATTGAGTAAAAAGGACTAAAAAACCCTCCAAGAAGAGAAAAGGAAACAGCCTCACTTCTTTTGTCGTTGTTAGCCCGGTAGGTACTTGTGGACATTGACGAGGTGAGAGAGAAATGGAGCGCTAATGTTTTACAGAGACAGTCTTGTAGTTCCCTAATCAAACATCTAGAACTGCCCTAAGGATGAACATTTCCAACATGACCGAGGGGAGAATGAGACGCAGTAGATGATCTCGCAAACACAGACTATCCCAAAGTGGAATGTGCATGTGTGGGAGTTGAGGGAGAGGGAGGGGCCGGGGAAGGAGAGCATCGAGGTTTGCATTATTCTGTTTCTTGCACTTAGAAAGTGACTCCTCAGCATCCACTGCCTGTTGCCAGTTAACTCGTGGAGAAGTGAAAAGTGCACCAAAAGCCGCATGGCGAGCCTTTTTGTACCGTCAGAAACACTGTCTCATTCTATAATTTATAAGATCCATTGTCAACAGGCCCCCGCTGTCTTGCCAGAAGAGGGAGAGTCATCCGTGGAGAAGAATGCTAATTGCAGGGATACTTATCTGTTTATTCAGTTCAAATGACCAGTGGAGTGAGTGCTCCATGCATTTTTTTTTTTTAAACAAGTGTAGTATTTCCAGCACTGTCAAAATTACCTTGACGATAATAGGCCTGTTAAATTATAGCTCTGTGAGTTCGGAGCTAAGGTGGCTCTGCTTAGCACACATTAATCTATGCCTGTTCATACAAGTGATTCTGCTGAGCAGGTAGCATGTTCGAACAAGAAATACTGGTCCTAAAACCTCTGATTTATGGTAGGTGTTGTTTTGACAGCATCATTCAGACGATTTACAAGGCCAGGCTTCATGTTCAAATATTTCTCCACTGTCATCATTCGTCACCGACATAAATATTCAGCAGCGATGCCGGAAAATTGGTAATGTGCCCATTCATGCCAAATCACTCACTGTGTTTCCTTTCAAGTGAGATCTGTTGTGGATATGGTTAAAAGAAACTAGGGGTTTTCTTCCTTGAGAGCAGATGAGCTGTGAGAAATTGAGAATAAGAATAACAACTATCGTGACAGCTTTCATGTCCTCATCTGCCTAGGTTGCTTTTAATTCTGGCTTCAGTCCTGCAGGCTCTTATTTATTTTTTTTTCTCCCCTTTCCTTGCTTGGTGCAAGTCATAGGAAGGTATTTTCATGTACATTAGTTAGTTTGAGAGGCTTTTTGT